AAAGAATTAAAATTTGTTTCTGAATTATTAGCGAGATTTGAGATAGGTAAAATGGGGCCCGAGCCAGTCGTAAATATAAGGCCCCGCCCTTCTTCGAAAGCCATAAAAATATACGAATTAAATCAATAAAACTAATAAAAACAGATTGTCCCACTTATTAAAAGGAAGTTTTTACCACTTTCGTATTTATTGTCGTAATCAAATGAGGCCTTTTCGACTACGTCAGTGAAAAAATAATGATAATTTTAATTTAAATATAACACTGATATAAATTTCTGAATTATTAGCAATTATTAACACAATTTCTGTAATTAAATAATTATTCTATATTTTCTATTACATTTAATTCTTAACTACGTCACTATTCTCATTATCACTTTTTTTCCTTATATTTTTTTAGGTAGAAGGCTAATTTCGAGGCCTTTATATCTGGCGCCCGAATAAAAAAGGCCCTACTGACCGATGCCAGTACGGCATTTTTCATTCGACATAATTTTCCGATGTATATTTATAAATCAAAATGAAACCTCAACAGAAAGCATTTAAATAAAATAGTAAATATCCAAATTAATTAATTAAAATTTAGGCCCTATACTTAAAAAGTTTTATATATTGATACTAATTTAATATATTTTTTTTAAAGTGTCGACAATTGTGCGATTTATCTCCTTACTTAAAAGTCATTTAGACCTTTTAAATAAACGATTTAAGGCTTAATTCCGAATCTATAAATTTCTAGACTTTATATTGATTTTATAACAAGAATTTTTTTTTACGGTAGAATATTTTGAAATAATGTATTTGCAAGACTTTGATTTATACACCTATTTATTTTAATTTTATTACTATTGACAGTTCATAATCTATCATTGTTTCCAGCATCAATATAATATGGAGTACGACGTTTGACAATGTTTACTGGTTTGGTATGGTGATAAACGTTCTCTGAGCCTACAGAACATTAGAAAAATTCCATTTCTGCACTCTCTAAGATATCCTAAAGTAAGTACTATTTCTTTATCTGGTTAATTAAGGTTAATACTTACAAATGACTTAGCCTTTCTGCTTTGTCGTCTACGACTTTTGGCTTATTTGCAGAGAGAACTCATTATAAAAAGTACAGCAAAATCTCCATTTACAGTCGGAAAAAAGTGGTATTAACTAGTATATATGCTGTATTAGATTCGCTAACGTTCTTGTAAATTTATCACTTTTTAATCCTGGATTAATCCCGCGTAGAATCTTATATTGATGCAGTCAATTATTCGTCTTGAGCTTTGTGATGTTTACAAAAATCCTAGTGCAAATTACAGCAGAAAAAAAAAGAAAAATAATTATTAAATAAATTATAATTAATCTATCCGACGTATAAACGATCGAAATATAAAATTAAAATTCGAAATCTGCATTTAAAAAGCTAAGAATGGTGTAATATTTTTGAATAAAGCGCGCTATAAGAAAGCATTTAATGACATTTATTAATAAAAATCTTAAAGGAAAATTTAGAACGAGATGTAAAGTAATTATTAAATAAATTATAATTAATTTATCTAGCGTATAAACCATCAAATTATCAGACTTTTACGGATTAGAAATCGGTAGTTATAAGCTATAAAATGGAGTTAATTCTGTATAGAGCACGCTACAAGAAAGAATTCAATGATATTTATTTACAAAATTCATAGGGAAAAATATAGAAAAAAGAAGAAAATAAATTATAATTAATTTATCCGATATAAAAACCAACAAAATAACAAATACGGATTAGAAATAGGCATTTTCAACGTGTAGAGCGGAGTTAATAATTTTGAATAGGGCACGCCACAAGAAAGTATTTAATGACGTCTCCAGCTGTTAACCAAAACTTTTTTTCATCATTATATCTAGTTACTTATTTAAAAAAGAATATATTTAAACGACTCTTACGCAAGATAAATCGGTAAGCACAAAACACCCAACCGTATGTCTGAACGTTGTAAGATAACCTTCGAATTCCATAAAATATCATAATAAATTTCGATTCGTCCCTGAAAATATTACAAGAAAATTTAATAATAAATAGTTGTACAAATTAAACAATAACTAATAAATTTCACAGGGGAATTTTATATTTTTTAAAAAGAAAACAAAACTATCTTCTACCCTCCAGTCATCATTATCCATTCGTTTTGGCCATTCTACAAATTGTACGAGCTTCGGGCTAACAGGAAAAAAGTAATTATAATAAATATACAGATTTTTTTTCTTAAAATTTCGACGCTTTTTTAACTTTTAATAATTGCTATAACCTCAAGAAATATTTTAAAAATTCCCTAAAAAAAAGAAAAAAAAAATTATATCTAATACACTTTCCCTTTTTTTTTAATGCACTAGATATGTAAATATTAAAAGTAAAATTTTCAATTTTACAAAAATATGTTTCCTCTAGGGAGATGTTATTATTACTAATTTTTTTTTTCATTCTAAAAATAAATATTTTAACAAAATAAAAATTAAAAAATAAAAAAGGGAAAAATTAAAAGAGGGGAAAAAAAATACATTTCACTTACATTTGCATTTTTGGGCTAATTTTAAATGGATAAACAAAATTATAATAATGTAATATTTTTTAAAATGTATCTTAAAAGTAAAAAGTTCTTTTATTATTTTTAACTTTAAGAAAAAGTACTTAAAGAAATGGAATTTTTCTTCTTAAAAATCTACTAAAAGAATTCCCTTACATTTATATATACATATTTTTTTTTTCCCTAAAAAATTTTAATGAATTCTTTTGTTTCTTTTTCATAATTTGGTTGGAACTAGATGAGTCATTCTGTAAATAATATAAATTATTTAAACGAATCTTCGTATCAAGTTTAAAATATAATTTTATTATTATTATTATTATCTTTTTTTCATAACTGGAAGAAGGAAATAACAACTAACACAGTTCGTGACTCACCTTGATAAAATATGTAAAAGTTTTGATATGGATAGTGGATCAAAAGACTCTTACTTGCATTTTCATGAATTTCATATAGTTTGCTAAAATCATAAAATATAAATTGGAGTGTAGAAAACACGCGTTAAGAGTAAGGAGAGGACCAAAAAAAAAAAAAAGAATGTTTATAATGTGAAAGAATCTTTTATAGTTTAGCATTATTCTATAGGGCCTACTACTACTTATAATTAATCGATAATTTCTAATGTTAATTAGAAATATTAATTAAATTTTACTCTTGTATTAGACAGTGTACTTTACCGTAAAACAATGATAGTTTCGGCTACTTTTTTTGTGTGTTAAAACCGTTATTTTACGGTAATAAAACGTTAATTTTGTAGAAATTTAATATTTATTTCCTCAAAATATGGAAAAAAATGTTTTTATAACGTAGTATGGTTGATTAGCTTCGTTTGTAGCCTGTAGTAGTATACCTCTACTATTATAAGAATAATAATTAATCGATGATTGCCTCAATTATTTTTACATTTTTCAAGATCTTATAATTACAGAGATACTTTCCTCACTTTTTTCTGTATTAAAATAATCATTTTTACAACAAGAAACGTTAAAATTTAATGTTTTTCTCGGTCAAAACTAATGAAAAAAAAGAAAGAAAGATGCGAAGATTTTTATTTTTCAACCGCAAAATAAAAAATCGATTAAACGAGATATTGTGTGCAAAACTCGTATCGATGAAAGTAAATCTTTTTAACAAAAGAAAGCAAAATAGATTTTTTTTTTAAAAACGCATCTTTAATATTAAAAAAAATAATAATAAAAGAGAAGAAAATCAGAAATGCTAACACGCATAAGTAAGAAGAAGAGAAAGATATAAACGAAGTAAAATTATTATAAATCTAAACCCGTACACGTGATCCTCTGCATCTACACATAGAAAACGTTTGCCTGAGGCATGAAGGGGATGAGCTGGCTCAAAGCCATGTTTCGACAGAATTACTGCAGTTACAACCACCTTTCCGCATAAAATGTTGGAACCAAGCGAAGACATACCTTATTCTGTCATCCCGTTTACTTAGAAGAGATTCGAATGCAAATTAAAAAGAAAAAAAATCGTGTTTACAGAAGCGATTTCCCTCATCTCTAATTTCCTCCATACTCTTCCCTTTCCCCTTTACTTGTATATATATATATAATATAAAGAATTTATGTAAATCTATTATTATATATTCTGTTAATCGTTAACTTGGAAACGTGTGTTTGGTTCACATGATCGAATCAAGAGGGAGTTAATGCCTGTCGACGGAAAGACACGTAGATACTTCTATGATATCTTGCATATTAGAAAAGAACGTCAGAAATACGACAGCTGCTTGACTTACATTTCTGAGAAAACGATCGATGCGGAAGCGTAGATGCAGTTTTAATATTTCTACAAATTCAATCAGTAGCAGGCCACTTCTCGTGTCACATCCCAATTCGGTTTTGTCTTCGGACGCATCGTTCTGAATCGGTTTTTTGGGGTGTTACTCGGAGAGAAATCATTCCCGGTCCTCTCCACGTTTCCAACTTTGCTCGGAAGATATATATATATATATTTAATTAAAGTTTGCACCATTACGCTAATATATGTGACATTGGCTTGAGTGTAACAATTGATATATCTGTATAAACACTAAGTTTAAAAAGCGTGTGTAATGTAGACTTTGCAGGCTTCGAGTTCGTGTTTTTTTTTTTACAGTTTTGACGATCCGTTACGTGAATAATGTATTATCCGCGTGGAAAAAAGCGTTACTTTAACAAAATTTCGATTGTTACGAACGGTTTTCTTCGGTAAAAATCCGTCTACAACAGGTTCGAGTGGCACATTTAACTTGTGCAAATGAGGGAGAACTTCGGAGCCCCTCTGGAGCAGGAAGTGCTCCCGTATTGATCTTTCACCTGCACAACAATTTGGGTAAGGTAAGGAAGAGTACTCGAAAACAGTTGCCATGGTTACCGTTGGTTTGAGAATTGTGGCGCGAATCATCAAGCCCGATTCTGATTGGCCAGGTGAAGTGAAGAGAGAGGCTGCATCGGCGATTTTGCGGCAGATTACCTCGACGTACAGACGCAGGACGGTTGATGGCTCCACATGAGCATCTCCATAACAAATTAAAAGGATAGTCCCGTAAGTACACTCATATAATAATCCAATGCTCTTGCTTTTTTATTCTGTTTTCCTATCTATGCTTTGCCTTCTTCACTTAACTCTATGTACTTTCGCGTTACATAGCGAATGCAACTTTAACTTAACTTCCAAACGTTCTGAAATGTAAAAAGTAAATAAATAAATAAAATAAATCCGAATCGCCGTGTCTTAGTTTCTTTTATTTTTAATGCACTAATTAATATTTCATTACATATTTTTGAAATTTTTATCGTTTGTTCTGCACTCTTAACTTTCCAACTCCGACGTTGTTTAATTATAAATATTTATAATGCAATTTTATTAATAATTTTTTCCTATATGCATATTAATATTTGATAATATATATACTACATACGCTATTAAGCATTCAACTGATACATTTTGTAAGCAAGATAAGCGAAATTTAAGCAAGGCATGGTGACGCGATTAACGAAGAGTATTATGTTAAACACGCGCTTTAACAATTTTTTACCTTTCAAAATATATATAGAAAGCATTTTTTAACTAGGAAATCGCTTTATCTATATACAAATTTCATTCTTTTTTATATTCTAGAAGTGATTAAGCACGTTTATGCATTGATTGCTGTCGTGCAAAATTCACCATCCCCAAGCTACGACATAGAAAAATTATCAGATCGAAACTTAAACAAACTCGCAACTCATTCCTCTATCTCTTGCATACATTTTTAATTAATTATATAAAGATATCTTATAGATTTTTACGACAGAAAAATCCATTTTCAACGCAATAAAAATAAAATACAACGTCTCGTATGCTGATGGTATACAATATATATACAAAATAAAAGAAGATATACTGTACGGCGGACGGGATGTGCTATAAATTTATCACTTTTTTATATATTTATTCGATATTATTATTATTTTTTTAAAAGAAAATGTATATATATATATGTTTACGTTAGATTTGAAAGGAAATAGAATACTTAGAATTTTGCACACAGTTTTAAGGTATATAATGTTGGAAAAGTGGAATACTGGCAAATCGCCAGACAAAAATCTCATTTACTGTCAGAAGCAAAGCGGGACGATAGTGCAATTTCTATCAGGTAAAACAACTGCAATGTACGACACGGCCTGAAAAAATTTCTTGATTACTTTACCACGAATAAATCCAAAAGAAAAAAAGTAAAAATATATCGCCGATGTCGATGAAACACGTGCTACTACACACCATACACCAAAACAGCATTCGTACCATACATTAAAAAAATGCATTTTTCTATAATTACACTCTAAAATATCTAATTTTTACTTAACTATATAAAAAATTTATAAATAATAATAATAATATTTTAAATTTGAACTTATTAGAGTCGTTATACTAATGATGTTAGTTACGTTTACCTTCTCATTAATGTCGTCGCATTTAATTTTAATATTGTCGATGGGAAGATTCCATTTAGTTGCTGATGATCATTCTTCAAATTCTGGTAAGAGGAAACAGAGAAAAAAATGTATATTTGTAAATTGTAATTTCTCTTAATTACTTCTCTCTTAATTATTTTTAAGATATGGCAAACTTATCCTTTCCTCTTTTGCATTATAATTTAAATTACTCGAATGGCAATTTATCATTAACTCATTTTTTAAAAATCTTTTATACGAGTGTAGGATTTTAATGGAAGTTTCTTACGTCGTTATATCAGTAAAAATAAAATATATTTTTAAGATTTTAATTAGTGACTGTTGAGAGCGTGTTTAACGCTTAAATTGGACCGTGTCACGCAAGCAAACAACTTTTACAAACAACTATGTGTGTAAGCAAGCGTTCTAACTTTTCCAATTCCTTGCTCGAGTAGGAGTTTCGTCTAATGAGTTTTAGCAACGTTTACGCTAATATACACATCAGAATTTATTAAAATTTACTATAAACATACGCTATTTAATTTTGAAACAAAATTACAACTTTACTTTTTTTTTTTTTAATAAAACAGCATAATTCTTCCTTTTTACCTTTACGAAACTGTAAAGCTTAGCTTTCTTCTACGCTAAGAACCGTCTTGATGAAATTCTTCGCTTCGCTTTCTACGTAAAGATTTATCTTAATGAAATTGTCCACTTCGCTTCTACACAAAAAATCATCTTGTTGAAATTATCCACTTCGTTTTTTATGCAAAGAATCATCTTGAAATTCTTCGCTTCGCTTTCTATATAAATATCCATCTTAATGAAATTATCCACTTCGCTTTCTTCTATACAAAGAATCATCTTGATGCAATTCCTCGCTTCGTTTTCTTCTACACAAAAAAATCTTCCTGATGAAATTCTTCGCTTTCTACGGATAGACTGATCTTAATGAAATTGTTCACTTTGCTTTTTTTTTTATACAAAGAATCATCTTGATGAAATTATCCATTTCGTTTTTAATGCAAGGAATTATCTTGATTAAATTTCTCACTTCTCTTCCCATGCAAAGAATCATCTTGATGAACCGTCCACATCGCTTTCTTGTACGCAAAGAATCATTAGTAAAATCGTACAAAAATGCAAGAAAAATACAGAAAAACAATGTTTAAAATATTATCCCTTTTATACATTTTTATAAAGATTTATATATAAAAAATTCAAGTTACACACACATATATATATATATGTTACATTTATTGTTATGAATCTTTGAATAACTTCTCGATGTATCCATTCAATTGCTTCCGATCTCTCGATAACATCATTGTACATTATCAAAAGGGAAAATATTATTATTTCATGTTTCCATTCTCAACAGAGAGGATCCAAAAAGAATTCGGAATTCAAAATTTTCTAAATAAAAGGATAATGCTTGGATGTCCTCTACATATTTAACACAGCGAAGTTATTCATCTTGTAGGTTTGACAGATGCATTCAACGTTAATATAAAACTTACGACCCTTTTTTTTTACTCAATAAAAATACTTTCTTGACGTTTTATATAAGTTTTTATTCTGATTTATACGCGATTATAAAGTCGCTGTAAACGAAAATAATTAAAAATTTCTGAATGACTTTGCTCGAATTTCGTTTCAAAACAGCCAAGTTCGCTGCTAAAACTTGGTTCTATTGCTCTTAAATTTGAAGATTCTCGTCCATAAATTCTTCTAAACTTTTCGATTTCTTAGAAAAATTCCTTTAAAAGTTGTTTGATAGGAATGTTCACGTTCATTCAGGAAGATAATAGCATTATTGTTGCGTGAATAATTTTATTTCTCACTTTGTTTCAACATCTAGCGGCTGTTGTAAACTATAACATATACTAAACGACCTTTATGCGGTTTGTAATTATTCTTAGAAAAAAAACTATCATGAAATTTCCTTTAGGAATCAATTATCTGATTCTCCGTATCCTCATTTAGTTTAAATAACCGGCAATTTAATAGTTAAAAACAACTTTATTACACTCGACAATAACAACTTAATTTAAAAATATCCTCCTGTCATATATGATTATTTAAATAAATGAAATCTTTTAAATGATAATTTTATGAAAATTATCTAATAAATCTTTAAAAATTTATGTATATTTTTTGTATTTTTTTAAATTCAACGTACTTATCTTCAAACACCTTTCTAATTAGATCCTCATTATCTTGCTAGTAGATTACATAAAAATGCTGTTTTCGCAGATTCTTCGATCTACGATCGCATTAAATTATCCAATTTTTTTAAAAAACTCGTTTAAATTGTATTTTTGCATTTAAAATGTTAAAAAAAACCTAAATTATAAAATTATATAATTTTTTAAAAATTGTAGGGATTTTCTCAGATTTATAGCCAGATTTTCCCCTAGATTTCCTACTTTCCGAGATTTTTTTTCCAAAAATTATAAAATTATATAATTTTAAAAAATTTATAGGGATTTTTTTTCAAATTTACAGCCTGATTTTTCTCTAGATTTCCCTAATTTTTAAGATTTTTCTCTAGATTTCCCCACTTTTCCAGATTTTTTCCTAGCTTAATTTTGAAATTTTTCGAATGTAAAGCAATAAAAATCCGATATAAATGATGTTTCTTCTATTAATCTTTAAGAAATAGTCCTTGGGGCATTAGTTGTATTAATCTTTAGTAAGTTCCGGAATCAATTTTGTATCGAGAATCGCAGCTTAACCTTTCAATATCAATAAGAATCAAAGAGAAAAAGAAAAAAGAAAATTGATAAATTTTATATATATCTTGTCAAATTGAATAACCTTAATTGTTATATAAAAAAAAAAAAATACACGATAGTTATCATTATTACATCAATATAAAAACTTCCGTAACAGGATTTTTCCTGTAATACTTTCAAGAAGTTAACTGACGTTAACGTTAAATTCGTAATTTTAAACCAATTTTCCATCCACTGACGATTGATACTTTAAAGAAATTCACTTAAAAATTAAAAAAATATATATCGTTTTTATCTATAACAAGGAGGAAATTAAATTTATAAAAAAAATTCTATTTGTTCAATGCTACACGATACCTAAGTTTTGTAGATTTAACAAAAAGAAAGAAGAGTTTCTTTTGTTAAATTGTATAATGCAAAATGTTAGAAGAGATAAAGAAGATTCAGAAATTCGAGACGATTTTTGAAAGGAAAAATATAGTCTATATATAAAGTATAAAATTATTAAGTCAAACACTCGAAACGGTTGAGAAATGACAGTGATGTCTTTTCTATACTCGAAAATTTATACAAAATCTTATATTTTTATGATAATTTAGAGCTTTTTTAGTGAAAAAAATAATCGAAAATATTTAATTTTTCTTCATTTATTGAGTTAATCTCTTACTTTTTATCAATATTCCAATGTAAAAATACCATTTTAAGAATATTTTAGAGCTTTTTTTAGTGAAAAAGTAGCCGAAAATATTTAATTATTCTTCATTTATTGAATAGATCTTTTACTTTTTTTTTTTAAACCAATACTCGAGTGTAAAAAATAATGCCATTTTTACTAATTTTTGAGGTAGTTTAGTAAGAAAATTACCGAAAA